AACAACATTTCAAAACTAAAACATTTAAATGAAAACAAAAAAATAAAGCTAAAAACAATTCAAAAATATTAAAAGAACAAAAGGTATGAGTATAATAATGATTCTAACATAACACTAAGCCAAGCACCAAAAAACTACTACATATGTGTATGTATAGCCACACCTTCACACGACCGCTTCCGCGGTAAACTAAGCTTCTTTTTAATTAGTTTAACAAAACTCAAATTGAATTCAGCTGGACACACTTTCCTGTTTATCCCAACAAATGGCCAAGCAAAGCGCACGACACTGACAAGGTACGCGATACAGTACAAGACCAAACGCCACGTCATATTTAGTCAATATGTTTTCATGAAAATTGTGTTATTAGACTACATTTGTGATGCATCCTTGTTATTATATATATAAAATCAATATGAGAATATTGAATATCGCTGACAGGCTAAAACATATTGAGATATAATTAATCTATAACTATATTTGGGGTACTCGATGTCAGACTCAGAATCAAGTCTGGCCTTCACTGCAATTATGAATGAACTCAGATTTGTCACACTTTCTGGTAAATTTGTACTTGAACTTGACAAACTCCACGTCGTGTGTAACATGAGAGATAAAAATTAAGTAACGACATAAAATTAAGATGACAAGACATTAATGAATTTCTCCCACGTGAACTTGATTGGTTAAGGACTTGGACTCGACTTGGACTTGACAAAATGGACTCGAACCCAAAACTATCTATAGTTACCCAGCCCTAATATTTTGGTATTAATATATGGTTACCATATCATTCACGATGGTATTCACATGGCAGCACTTTGATAAATTCTAAAATCTATGGTGTTTATGTCCAACAAAACTACTACCAATGCACTTCTTAATGTTGTTGTTTTTTTTTTGGACACATCAGTCTGGCATGAAGTGTTACTTAGGGCGCTTTTCCACTGCATGGTACGGCTCGGTACGGCGGTACTGAACTGCAGTGGAAACGCAAACCGAGCCGAGCCGAGCCGAGCCGTGCCATGTCGTACCGTACTGAGCCGTGCCGAGCCGAGTCGTACCACACAGTGGAAAAGCGCCATTATTGTGTCTGGGGATGTTTGATTGTATTGTTTGCTTGCATTGACAGATTTTAATGGATATTTGGTCTGCCTTTTGCCGTGCTGGCATGAAAATGCAGCCTGGTCTGTATTGTTCTCCTCTGTCCTGAAATATCGATCTGTGTGCTTCATGCATATTTACATGAATGTGGAAGGTCTATGATTACAGCTTAATTAACTTGGGTAACTTCTGTTAGATATTGACAACCAGACTCAAAATAAATGTGAATAGTCCAAAAAGATTGCCAGTGTTTTAAAAGATGAGGAAATAAAGGAAGATTTGTCTGAGATCAGGACATTGAGATGAGAGATAGAAGCAACATTTGACCTTTAGATAGAACCAACCTTTTCTCCTCAGAGACCTCTCTTACTAGCTGGTGGCCCCAGCAGCAGTAAGCATGCCTGTGCTTTTGAACATTCAGACTCCTCATAACATGCATAATCATTTACTGTGTGAAAAGTGAAAGTGGCTTTTTGCAAAGGTCACCAATTTTGTAGTGTGGCACAGCAAGGCCACAATAATACAGTTCAGACTGAGGCATTTTCTGTCCCAATTATGCCCCGCTGGGGTGGAAATTTCCTGCAGTCAGTTGACTTTTTAATGGGTAATGAAAAAATTAAATGCATTACTTTTTTTTTTTTTTTTGTATTGCACGTTTTCTGAGGTTCACAGTGATTTCCCTTTGTAGCTGAATATTACAGTGTCACAAATGATAACAGCATCACTTCTCTGCTTGATAAAATGCAATTCTTGATGCAATTAATTTGCAATTTCTCATCCAATTAATTGCATCAATTCACCATGAGGCTGATTTTCATGAATTGCAATCTAATTAGCGGCTAATTTGCCTGAACAGAAAGGAATGAGGGTCTTCAATTGTGACATTTATAAATACTCAAATTAATCATGAAAGTTTAGATTCTGTTATGTTGATTTATTATGGAGCACATTAATCAGTTTAGAGGACTTCATTTATCATATTATTTAACTGTACTGTCGTGCATATCGACATTAGTACATTGCAGGGGCAACCGTCAATGCCGTACAGTTTACAAATGCCCATTAGAAATAGTCAAAATGAATTCAAACTCCTCATCCAGAAGTGACCGTATAATTATGCAAATTAACAAAGTCCAAGTTCATTTACATTGCAGGGGCAACCGTCAATGCCGTACAGTTTACAAATGCCCATTAGAAATAGTCAAAATGAATTCAAACTCCTCATCCAGAAGTGACCGTATAATTATGCAAATTAACAAAGTCCAAGTTGCAAATGCAAATGCATCACTCTCAAGAGTCTGTGTCAGCTTAATGATCATATACTGTATTTAGGAATTTAGAAGAATAAGATATATATAATAGTAACATATAATGTCAATAAATATGTAATATAAATTTGAAAAAATTTACAATAAAAGGAAAGTGTCAAAAATGCTCTTTAGTTTCTATGTATCAATAATGTGCGTTAACTTTATTTTTAACATCTTTGAACAACATTTCACAGTGAGATTTTTACAAAATAACTGTGGTTGGTCGCTTTAAATGTCAGTCTGACAGTCAACTTCCTGTATTAAGTGGGTAGTTCTGAGCCATAATAAGCTACAAATTGAACCACGTTTATGCCGATAGTGACAAGTCCACTTCCTCCATAGCAAGGATTCCCTTACCCTCACCAACACTGTCCCAATGCTTCCCCAACCCCCCATATATCCTTTTTACAAGTGGACTAGTTGCAAACTGTTGTGGCAAATTTCTATTTCAATAAAGGTATGAGACAAAAGTCTTTTGAAGATTTATTTTCTTCCAAGAAAAGGTCTGCATTCATACAGCCATTCAGTGTTGGCTGTAGATTGTGACAGAGAAAATACCTTAACTCAATATTAATACCCAAATCAAAACAGGATGCTTCTACACTCTCTCATCTCATCCAATCATAATACATACTCAAGACATGTGTCCATTTAAGGTGTCCAACTATGCCCCCCCTAGATGCGTTTCTAATTATTTAATGTAGTGCTGGGCAACGATTAAAATTTCTTATCGTGATTAATCGCATGATTGTCTGCAATAACATTTGGTTTGCAAACACTTTAAACAAATAAGGTGCTTTTTTACAGCAGTATTCCTTTTACATAGTAGCAGTTAAAATATTTCTTGTAAATCTCAACTTATAACATTAATGTAATTAAATTAAATATAAAACAAGCTATTTGCCACATTGCCAGGGCATTAACGTTTTTATAGAAAATATTTTATAATTTGTTATAGAAAAACAAGTTATACTCAGAGTCCAGAGCCTCGATTATAACATCATAACAGGCACCTTCCGAGTAGAGACCTGCACTATCGCGGGACCCAATGCAACAGAGTGCGGCGCGGGACAACACTTGATGGGCGAGTGCGGGTTTGGGCGGGTAGAGACTCGTGTGTGCGGGATGCTGGAGAATAAGTGTGTACCCACACTAAGCAATCTTAACCGTGCCCGACCGCGCTTGACCCCCAAACCCCGGTTCGTTTGACTAGTGTGATTGCTCCGTTGCCACGCTTGGGCGTGGTTCGTTTAGCCGTTCCTGGCTCGGTTGGAAGAGGTGGGCCAGAGTGCGGTTCAGTTATATAGAGTGTGAGCGCTAACCGTGCCGGAGCGCGGAACTTATGATACATGCTGCGTGATTGCATGAACATTTCTGAGTGGCAAGAGTGATAGATCTGTAAAGCAATATATTGTGAAGAGGGCCGTGTGTTACCGCGTCCCAAACGACTCAAAATAATAAACCACAAAGTTAACAAAACGATGCACTCCACTGTGCTGAGCGAGAGTGCATCTCTGCTGTCTTCACGTGCTATCGGAAATTTCCCAGTTATGAAGTCGTGATTACGAGCACGTTGCATTCTTTTCTGTTAAAAATAACAGTGAACAGTGGTTTGTGAATGTTGATGCTTAGCCTAAATAATTTTATCGGGAGCGTTAATTTGAGCGCTGCTGCA